ACCATCGACGTTTACAGTAGAAGGTTCAGCAGGATTGCTTACAAGATTGTCAATTGGTGGTATTTGGTCTCGTGAGAACATTGTTATAAAATCCAGTATAAGTGAATTTGCTGAAGAATCTATATTATGTCTTTCAAACTATATGTATTCGCCGCCAAGCATTATAGTATAACAAACTTTGTCAGTAAGTTTAACATAAGACTTGTCGAACCTTCTTCAATGAAAGATGTTGTGCTACCTAAAGATGGAAAGGATGGACTCATTATTGAGATGATTTTAATAGCATATTAAATGAGCTTGTTCTTGAAGGTCATTCATGATGAAATAACTGTTGTAGAAGATGTTAGCAATTGTTCAGACATTTTGAAGCGTATAGATGATATAAGAAATAAGTTAGATAGACCGCAAAGCGGTGAGGGCGAAGCCCGTGAGAAGCTTTATGTTTCATTGACTTTCTCCAGTAACGAGAACTTTTATGAGATAATATTGAAGAGAGATGATTTTAATATGGTGTAAATGGTAGCTTGGGCAGCTTTAGGCGCAATGGGAACAAAAGCATTAGCATTTGGAGCAAAAGCACTTGGAGCTTATGACGCAGTAAATAAAATGAGTGGAGGAAGGGTTTCAAAGACATTAGATGCAAATAAAGGAAAGATTGGAGGCTGGGTTGCAAAGAAGTTAAGATTAAATAAAATGGGGCTCATAAATAAAGCATCCAATTTGGTTGCGACTGAGTCAGAAAATGCTTTAGGAAAGGACGATGAGTTTGCAAAACACGCAAAAGACTTTAGTGACCAGATGAAAGGTGAAACAATGCATTTAAATAGAGTCGATGGAACTAAAGAAAATGTTTCTTCTCCACCAGTAGTTCTTCCGTATGGTCCCTATGGAATGTATGGAAACCCTTACGAAAGACCATTTGACCCATTGACTGGTGGAAGTAACTGGTATCATTACGGCCGAAGAAGAAAGACAGTCAAGTTGGAGACAGACGTGAAGAAAGCAACTAAAAAGAAACCAAGGAAGAGAGTTATAAAGCAATGAATTCAACAGGGTGAAAAAAGAGGTGAAAAAAGAGGTAAGATTTCACCAATTCACCTAAATTTATTTTTGTGCTATGTTTTCATACGTGTGAGGGTGGTGATATCATTTATTTTTAAGTTTATTTTTAAGTTTATTTTTTATTTTATTTTTATATAAATGACGAAAACTATTGAGATAACAAACTACAACGGTCATGAGTTCAAGAATTTGTTCTTCGTTCCTCGTGAAAATACATTCTATCAGATACGAGGGAGAAAGGGTAAAGTTAGTTTGAGCGTTTACGACAACAAACATAATGGGAGATATATAAAAGCAATAGATACAAACGGTAAGCGTGTTTCATTAGCTTTGTCAAAACTTACATACATTTATTTTGACAGTGATTTTGACTCTGACGATTGGAGTGACAGCAGCGATACTGAAGAATATGAACTATTGTGTGAAGCACAGCAATGGGAAGCGCTGCAATACTTTTGTAAATGAGAACATTAGTGGGAACGTTAGTGAGAACGTTTATTTTTTCATTAGTGAAGTCGTTAGCGAAAATGTTAGTGAGGTGAAGTGGTTGGTGGCTTTGTAAATATTTAAGGTTAAGTTAGTGTTGTCGTTTGTGTTGTAAAATATACGTCAGTGGTTTTGTAAAGTGTCAAACCGTTATCTTGGGTAAGGTGGAACGCAGTGCCGCAGTACCCAAGATAGGTATACTAACTATTCTTGCTGCTCAAAAGTTCAAAGAATTAGAATTTTGTCTCGATATGAGACCATCCTATCTTGATTACAATCAATTTCAGAATGATTTTGATGATTTATTAAAATATCATATTGATCCAAGTAAAATCCCAATAATTGATTGCATTGCAATTCCAGTAACTCAAATCCCACTTACGACCAAAGATACAAGCAGGAAAATATCATTTGCCGAACAATTAAAGCGTAAGGCAATGAGAAATTAATTTTTAAATTAATTAATCAATCATGATCGCAATTATTCAATGATGATCGATTTTGGAAGCTCAAAGTAGAATTGATACGTTTGATTGAAAAACTGGAAAAAATCCAAAACAGTTGTGTAAATATCTACAGTTTTCAAGTGTGAGATGCATTTATCAAGATAATGCAAAGATAGATGTAATATTTCATGGCTATTATGATATTTATCAATGGTAGTTAGGAAAATTTGATAATCAATTGATGATAAATACTCGAAATTCTGTTGTGAGTCAAGAATTTGAATTGTTCCGAGTACATATTTAAAATGGTATTCAGAACAAGTTGATATATTAAAAATTGCATTTAAGGCATCAAAATTTACCAATTCCGAACTATTTTCTTTTGAGCATATGTAGTTGATGAATGAGAAAACTTTAAAAACGTGGGTTTTGTCGGAAACAAGTTCAAATAAATGTGTAAATATCTTGTCGTAATCATCTATTTCTTGCCCAAAATATATTTGAAATGCAACAAATATTTCATTCCTATTAAATGTATTGTCATTGGTCATTTTACGAGATATTTGACACATGTATCATTGTCAAATGAATGATCCATTATACATTCAATCTCATACTGATTAGTGCCATCTTTTCGCTTTCTTCCTCTTTTTGACATAATTATATTTAAAAATGGTTTACAAACTTTACATGTCATATTTAGAATGATATATGATTAGTATATTAAATAAGTGATATCTGATACTTATAGCAAATGAGAAATTAAAATTAATAAAAGTTAAAAAAATAATATAATTAATAATTATGAATAATTATTACCACAAAAATACATACTGTATACATTTCAAACACTTTTAACATCAGCATTATTTATTTACCTGATCAAAACATAATTATTCATGTCTCATGCATTAGAATAACTCTATTTATTAGTTAATTAAAATGATGTTCATGAACAAAGTTATATATAATTTTCCAAGGTCATATAAGATGAAAATCGATTTAATCAAGACAGTATTATATAATTGACTTCCACATATATAACTGATCAGTAAAAACATTAAAAAAATAAGTATTATTGAGTATAAGATCGCATTTATTGATATCAAGCATTACTATTGAATAAATGATATAAATCCACACTGTAATAGTATCAAATAACAATTTTTACATATAATTCAATAAGGTTATACTAATACATAAGAAGATCAAATCTTAAAAAATAGCAAATTGATAAAATGCGATATTTATTTCAGAATAATAAAGCTGTTTGTATATATGCAAATAATAGTACTTTAATATAAAGACTATTTACAATGTGTATTCATAATTTTATAGGATAGAAATACATTTTGAAGATATTCATAATATATTATTTGTAAAAATATATCATATATCATTAATAACTATATAATATATTTATACAAATATTGCTTATTTAAACTATGTGAATAACTTAGTTTAAAAGCTATCCAAGTTAGTATGGTTAACTTGGGTACGGCGGCACTGCGTTCCACCTTACCCAACTTAACCTTAAATATTTACAAAACCATCTGACACATAAACGACTTCACTAACGACTTCACTAACGACTTCACTACCGGCCTCACTAAATAAAAATAACCTTATTTCTATTTTTTTAAATTTTTTATTTCATTACAAAGACATGTCTGACTACATTTACTATGACTCTTTCCCAGAACGTTTCCGTGAACTATTCAAAACTCAAGTAAAACTGAGAAACATGCATTTTAACAAAGACAGACCCATTGACGATGAAAGAAACCCTGAATATATTACAATCCCTTATGACGCAAAGTTCATTGCATACATTCCTTATGGTCGCAGAGGAACGAAAACTATTTCAACAAAGAACAAAAATTATTTCTGGAGCGATGAAGAAAATTGCCTTATCTACATAAATGCATACTTAAATAAAGCTACATATTGTACAAAAGAAGGTTTGACTGGATTTGAGCTCTACATATACGACGACGATGGAAACAGACGTTGTGTATACCCATACGATAATATGTACCATTGTTTTCATCAAGCATTAAACGAATACATAGTCAGTAAGGGTCTCATTCCTGCTGAGTAGAAATGCTTTATTTTTGTTCCCACATTTATATAAAAATAAACTTAAAAATAAATGATATCACCACCCTCACACGTATGAAAACATCCATTTAAATTTAGGGTAGAAGGGTAGATCTAACCTCATTTCTACCCTCATTTCTAACCCTGTTGAATTCATTGCTTTATAACTCTCTTCCTTGGTTTCTTTTTAGTTGCTTTCTTCACGTCTGTCTCCAACTTGACTGTCTTTCTTCTTCGGCCGTAATGATACCAGTTACTTCCACCAGTCAATGGGTCAAATGGTCTTTCGTAAGGGTTTCCATACATTCCATAGGGACCATACGGAAGAACTACTGGTGGAGAAGAAACATTTTCTTTAGTTCCATCGACTCTATTTAAATGCATTGTTTCACCTTTCATCTGGTCATTAAAGTCTTTTGCGTGTTTTGCAAACTCATCGTCCTTTCCTAAAGCATTTTCTGACTCAGTCGCAACCAAATTGGATGCTTTATTTATGAGCCCCATTTTATTTAATCTTAACTTCTTTGCAACCCAGCCTCCAATCTTTCCTTTATTTGCATCTAATGTCTTTGAAACCCTTCCTCCACTCATTTTATTTACTGCGTCATAAGCTCCAAGTGCTTTTGCTCCAAATGCTAATGCTTTTGTTCCCATTGCGCCTAAAGCTGCCCAAGCTACCATTTACACCATATTAAAATCATCTCTCTTCAATATTATCTCATAAAAGTTCTCGTTACTGGAGAAAGTCAATGAAACATAAACATTCTCACGGGCTTCACCCTCACCGCTTTGCGGTCTATCTAACTTATTTCTTATCTCATCTATTCGCTTCAAAATGTCTGAACAATTGCTAACATCTTCTACAACAGTTATTTCATCATGAATGACCTTCAAGAACAAGCTCATTTAATATGCTATTAAAATCATCTCAATAATGAGTCCATCCTTTCCATCTTTAGGTAGCACAACATCTTTCATTGAAGAAGGTTCGACAAGTCTTATGTTAAACTTACTGACAAAGTTTGTTATACTATAATGCTTTGGCGGCGAATACATATAGTTTGAAAGACATAATATAGATTCTTCAGCAAATTCACTTATACTGGATTTTATAACAATGTTCTCACGAGACCAAATACCACCAATTGACAATCTTGTAAGCAATCCTGCTGAGCCTTCAACTGTAAACGTCGATGGTAACATTCCACGAAGGTCATCTATTGACATCGTTGAGTCACTGTATTTAAATATTTTCCTAAAGCAATCGTCATTATCTAACCATGCAATAGCTTTGAAGTTTTCATTCGAATATACATCTGCTTCATTAAATGTAAAACCTGACTTCTTTGCAGAGATGACTTTAAAATCTATTGAGTTTGTTTCAAAATTATATGCTATGGTAACTTCTGAAGGTAATGGATGTCCTTCCGCAGTCAGTTGTTCTCTCACTACCGTTTGAAGCTTTGTATTAAAAACTTTCATGTCATCCCCTGTGTCTAGGTTCACATACACAGCAACAGGGAAACTATCTTGCTTCTTTGTTTCATCATTATACCTCAAAACATTAAAGTTCTTCAATAATATTGTTCTTCCTGCTGGAATACTTCTAACTTGTCTTATTTCAATAGCTTTCTCACCTCCTACATACTCTACCCAGTGTCTTGGATATTCATAAGTATACTGACTTTCTTGAATTTTGGTTGGTTTCATCATAACGTGTTCATAGTATATCTTTATACTCTTGTCAGTTAGACTCGGTGCTATGTTCTGAATATTTCTGACTTGCATTTTTAATGGAGATAAAATGAAGCATTTAATACATGACGTAGATGAAGACATGAATGAAACTACAGACAAACTTAACTCTTCTCTTATTCTTCCTTTCAGCAAAGATTATGAGTTCTGTTCAAATGGTGTTATTTCTATTGTGGAAAGATGGGTTCGGGTAAGACATTTAACCTCATTCGTCATATACTCATAACAGAGCGTTTAGGAAACGACTCTTACTATGACCAAATCATTATATCAGCAACTTCAGACTCTATGGACTCAACAGCGAAAACATTTATGTCAAAAGTTCAAGCCTCTGTCGTTAAAGTTCCAGACAGTGAACTCATTGAATTTCTTCAACGTTACATTCGACGTAAGAGGAAATATTATGCCATCGTTGAATTTATACAGTCAGGAATGCAAAAGACTTCTGAGGAGATGGAAAGAATTATTGACAAACACCACTTACGTCAATACTCAGGAGTTTACGATATGAAACGACTTACAAACTACATTCTGTCAAAACTTTCAAAATACCCCTTCAAAAAGTATCCTTCAAACACTCTGCTCGTTTGTGACGACTTCGCCGGAAAAGGTTTAGTGTCAAAACCAGACTCACCATTAGCTAACATCATTACTAAAGTCAGACATTACCACTTAACTGTAGCAATACTTATGCAAACATGGCGTTTCTTGCTTTAAACATAAAACGTCTCATAACTGACTTCGTTATCTTTCAAGGTTTCTCACGCTATGATATTGAACTCATTTGGAAACAGTCAGGTATAACATTACCTTTTGAAGAAATTTGGGAAGCATATAAGTCTCTCATCTCTCCTCGTTCATACCTTGAGATTCATATCATGACTAATACCATTAAAGTCAAAAATATTCCATGGGAACGACCAACATTGTTTTAAAGTTTAACCTTCAATTGACTGATGGTAAACAAATTCCATGCATCTCTGTCGCCATTTCTGTTAATATTTTTGCTGTCATTCATATCATCCACTTCCCCATCCGTTAGCTTTTGAGGATATGCGTTAGAATAGCTGTTCTTAAATGAAGGCTTTTCACCTTTGAGAGCATAAACTCTATAACTTTCTGCATACTTTATGTTTGAACCTCCTGAGCCATCATTGACATAAATTTTTATAGGCTTCCACCCTTTGTTCATATTCCTGCTTCTTCCCTTAGCTCTTTTGTTCAGTAGTTCTACATCTTTATACACAGCACCTGTCTCAGTGAATTCAACAATATTTTCATTCGTTAGCTTTACATTCAAACCCTTGTCGAGTATATTGTTCATTTCATACATATAAAAGGTTTTTATTCTATATGAAATGAGAAGCAAATCCATCTTAGCTGGTGCCGTTAATGTTCCAATTGAACCAACATCAAATGTTGACTCACGAACGACAAACAATATTGTCATAAAGAACTATAGTTCGGAGTGTTTGAAAGAAAAAGAACCAGAACTGAAATCCGTGAATTTAAACTCAGCTTCAAACGCTAACGCTACATCAGATGTTAAGTTAGAGTATCCACCACTGGACCAAATTCTTTCAAGAGAAGCCAACGACAACCCTTACAAATGTTCAAACAAATCCTTCAGATAACGTAGACCATTACCTTCTTCAGTTATACCAAACAATTTTACTCAAAGACGATAAGAAGCTTTTGACAAATCTTATAAGTAAGAACCAAATAATTCTAACAAAGGAGGACCTTGAAAATGTTATCTCACGAATAACAGGGAAACAATGTGTCATTGACTATCTCGACCCTGAAATCGAATGCTGTGGTCAAACTCCACTATTCATGAAAATAGGTAACATCCGCATCATTGAAACACCAGGAACTACAGGAGTTGAGTTTAAGTATAAATATTCGAACGAGTATACAAAACTTTCAACAGAATATAAACTTTGCTTGAAATATGTTTTAGTAAATTAAAGCAATTTGTAATATCTATCCAAAACTTCTTCAACAGTATCGAACTCATCTTCATAATGCAAACCTAATCTTATTGACTTGGTGCAGTTTTCACTAACACAATATTTTTCTGTTCTCTTGACTGACATAACTAACTCATTTGTTTCATCAAACAGCAACAACCAAAGTTCATGACCTAATACATAACATTCATACTTTATATTTTTAGCTCTGAGTTCTCTTGTAAGCTGTTGCATTTAATATTTTCTAAAAAGTCAACTTCAACAGTCATTCGCACTGGTGCCTTCAGTTCTACAAGCTCTCCTTGAAAGTCAACAAGTCTGAATTGCATGTCTTTCAAATTATGAGGACTAATGCGAACCCATTTACCTAAATGAGTTGCTATGACAGGAACGTTTGGAATGAACATTGAATTTACTTCATAACAGAAAGATTTATACTCTACTGAACCTTTACTATTAACTCCTGAAATACCTGTGACATTAGCTATTTTTGACTCAATGTACAAACAATTACCATAACATACGTATGGAACAGATTTCATCTCAATCGTTTTGTCAACACTTTTCAAAGGAAATGTCATATGGTATGCTCCCAAAAGAAGTTGTACTCTATGACTCATTCTTGGTATCTTAAACTCTTTCTTGCTACTGAACTTCAATGTTCCCTCAGAAGAGAGTTCGACATCTATGTTGTCAATAGTTTCTTCATTTATGAGAGTATCTATGACTCCAGCAATTTTATCTATTCTATACTCTGCTCTGTTAGGAAATGTTATAAAACTTCTTTTGTCATCTATTTCAATCTCTATGAAATCTGTTTCATCTGTTATGACAAAGGTTGCGATAGTATTGAAGTCAACAACTCTGAAAGCAAGCGCTTCATTCTGAAGACCTAAGTTTGTTTGTAGCTTTACTGTCCCGTATTCGTTTGGGTCTGTACTTTGCAAATAGAACAACATTTTATTCTCATTAAAATATGACTATTGCTGCATATGCGTATGAAACAAATGAAGCAAGAAGAGCACATGAACTAGTAAACGAAAACTCAACTTTAACCATTGAAGGCAATGATTTAGTCATTGACGATGGAAAAACTAAAAAAGTCATTGATTTCGATACTTTTAACACTTATGACCCATTCATTACAATAAGTAAAGTTCCTATCATAAATGATGGAACGGTGCAATATATAAATTCTACAGTAGATGCCTCATTAGTGAAAGTACTGAATGTTCTCATTGAATTGTTAAAGAGCTTTCGATTTGACGACAACATTAAATGCCTAAAGAATTTAGTCATGAATGAGAAACAAATTCTCGGCGTTGCTGGTAGCAGTAATGATGTACACCTTATGACATTAGAATATTATAACGAACATAAAGATGAACTGAAAGGAGAGAAGGGTGACACTGGACCACAAGGACCACAAGGAATACAAGGAATACAAGGACCTCAAGGCGAAAACGGTTTGGATGGAAAGGATGGAAAGGATGGAAAAACTGCTAAATCATGGATATGGGACCTTATAAATACTGGTTTAACAGCTGCTTCATATGGAGTTCTTCAATACCAAATCGGAAAGATATGGGCAGTACTTGGTGAAGAAGTTTTAGATGACGTTAAAAATGCTTTGAACTTCATTTCAAATGGTTCGGATACTATTAAAACTTTATCTGGTTGGATGCAAGAAACAAGGAGTCAAATAGATACTGTAAGACGTATAGCAAACAATGCACGTACGGGATTGGATACTTTACGAGAAGCACAAAATACACTAAAGGAAGCAAATGATATTCTTGGCTCAGTATCAGACATGCATGAAGATTGGCTTAAAGGTATTGACAAATCTTTAAAAAATCACAGTCAGTCTATTGCTGACTACAAGAAAAGTATAGATTTTTTACATAGTGCTATGGACGTACATGATGGAAGCATAAGGAACTTACTTAATGCTAACAATAACTTACCAGGAACTATTAAAGCATTTATAAAGTCCTTTGTAAAACCTGGTGCTCTAACATTTAGGTCTTTGAGAGCAAGAGCATTGAAGTCAAGAGATGCAGAAACTCCAACAGAACCTACAGAAGGAACTGAAACAACAGAAACTCCAGAAGAACCACCAAACCAACAGCTAATGAAATATTGTTCGAATATTTTCCAAGGTACTCTGTTCTCATTGCATACATTCAAGAAATACTTAAGAAAGCAGACTTGACTTTAGGAGATGATGAAAGTTCTGTATATCTTTCGTTCCTGTTTCAAATAGCAGAACTTTTGAGACAGATATGCTTAATGTATGACAACATCTCTGATTTCACAAGATATGATGACGACCATGACCCCGAACACGGTGAAGAAGAAGTTTTACAAACATCCATTAAGACAGGAAAGGTTTTAACTCAAAGTCTCATTATTGACACCAAAGATGGCGAAGTGGACGTTCTTCAAGAGCTGAAGAAAAATACTTCTGAAGGAGGTGGTGGTAGGCATGAACTTGAAATAAATGAGATAGAAGAGAAATTAGCCGAAAAAGCAGATAAAGAACATAAACACAATATCTCCGATATAAATGAACTTCAAGCTACATTAAATAGTAAAGCGGACAAAAATGAACTTGACGCAATGAACAAAGTTTTGAAATCTCATAAACACAATATCTCCGATATAAATGAACTTCAAGCTACATTAAATAGTAAAGCGGACAAGAACCACGTTCATTATATAACTTCAGACGAACAGATTATAACGGACTACCATGGATATTTAACACGAAGTGATGAAGCGAAGATAAAAAATGTTAATGAAAGAAGATATAAATACATTCGTGCTAAAGGTTATGACATAAGCTGTACTGTACAGTATGATGTAGCTAAAGCACCAGAAGCATTTGGTTATACCGGTGAAATTTATGCCTCTACTTTCAATGTTAACGGTGTATTAGTTGAACCAAGATTTACTTTGAGAGTTAAGTCAAAAATAACGTTTGAAGATGCTATTAAAAGTAAAGCTGACAAAGTTGAACTCGAAGCAATGAACAAAGTTTTGAAATCTCATAAACACAGCATCTCCGATATAAATGAACTTCAAGCTACATTAGACAGTAAAGCCGACAAGAACCATACACATAAATCCTTCACTACTGTTAGAGCAGACGACATAATATTGAACTTTGACCTTGGTTCAAGTGCACCATTAGAGAATCCGAGTACAAGCGTAAAAGATACTCTTAACAATTTAGATAAGAGTTGCAGGAATATCGAAGATCATGCCAGAAACTGTGAAGCATATGAACTACCCGCAATGTTAGACAAGAAAGCAGACAAAAATCATACACATAAATCCTTCACTACTGTTAGAGCAGACGACATAATATTGAACTTTGACCTTGGTTCAAGTGCACCTTTAGAGAATCCGAGTACAAGCGTAAAAGATACTCTTAACAATTTAGATAAGAGTTGCAGGAATATCGAAGATCATGCCAGAAACTTTGAAGCATATGAACTACCAACAATGTTAGATAAGAAAGCAGACAAAACAGAGCTTCAAACATTAAAGACAGAAATACTTCAAACATTATATCCTATAGGTTCTATTTATACGTCAATGAACTCACAAATCCAGCAACAGTTTTAGGTTTTGGTATGTGGGAGCAGATTGTAGATAAATTCCTCTATTGTGCGAACTCTTCAAAGCAAACAGGTGGTTCGAAGAAAATTACTGAAGCAAACCTCCACCGCACACTCATACAGGAACTACAAACACAACAGGTAGTCATTCACATTCAATAACAAAAAGAGGTTATACAAATCTTGCAGCAGGTTCGGATAGACAGGGAATGCATAGATATGATATTTCAAGTGACCCAGTAGATTCAAGCGCAGGTATTTTCTGTGGAACCGCAGGAAATCATTCACACACTTTCACAACAAATCCAACAGGCTCGGGTAAAGATTACATGCCACCATTTGTGACTATATTCGCATGGTACCGCGTTCAATGAACTCGCTTGAGCCTAGAATAAAATCTTTATTTTTACATAAATGAGCTTGAAAGAAGTATTCGAACAACATCCATGGAGGTCATTTAAGAAGTTCAATGAAGCTGCAAAAAGTTGGGGATTTACTAACAGAGCTGAAGTGAAAAGGTTCTTTGACAAAAATGTTGTACATCAAACAAAAATAAACCCTTACGACTACTTTTTACCAATTTACTCCAACACTCCTGACGCATACCAATTTGACACTCTCATTCAAAGCAGAAAAGGAGGACATAAACCATTCCTCATCTTCATAAATGTTAACACTCGTAAAGCATATGCATATCCAATGAAAAATAAAGGAACTCGTGAAGTGTTAAGAGTTTTACAAAAGTTTGTAGCAGAACATAGCCCAAGTACTTTAACATCAGACCAAGACAGTGCATACCTCAGCAACGAAATCACAGAATTTCTCATTAAGCATAACATAACTCACTACACTACTGAAGACCATAACCATAACATACTCGGCATCATTAACCGCTTCATAAGGACTCTCAGAGATTTAAATCAAGAGCGAGACTTTACCGAAGAAACAATGAAACACTTTCTCGAAGTATATAATTCCTCAACACATTCTACAACAGGACATACACCAAATTCAATGACACAACAAGAAGAAAAGTATATACAAAAGAAACGAAGTCAAACGCAAAATATCAGAAATTCAACACAATTTACCCTCATTCCTGGTACAAAAGTTCGTGTAGTTCTTGACGACAAACCGTTGACAAAGAAACGTTTAAGGTTAAGTCGAAATTATTATATCGTAGACTCTACGCAAGGTAATGGATATCTTATAAAAGCTGCTGACGACTCCATAGCATTTTACCCTCGTCATAAATTAGTCGAAAGTAGTAATGGCAAACTTGCTGAAACCATTGACGAAGCAAAGCGAGGAGTGGTTATTGAAATACTTAACTACAACATAAACGATGACACTTATAAAGTAAGATATGAAGGAGGCGTTGAAGATGTTATACCATCTAAGAACTTGAGAGAGTCGAAGCCAACACATCTGGGACCATTAGAGCGGGAGTACTGGAAAGACAAAAATATGCCAGAAAGAATAAGAAAATTCTTCTAAACTTTTTCATTAGATGTAAATCAGACATGAATGAGAACAGTCATGTATTATTAATGGTACCATTTATTTTAACATAAAGACGCAAACGGACTCTTTGAGTCCTGAGGTCTTTCAGACGCAAAGCGGCGAGGACGAAGTCCATGACCAAAAATAATGTTTAGGGTAGATGGTTAGATCTACCCTCATTTCTACCCTCATTTTTTGTATTTGACGGGATTAATTCTTGATTTCAGGGATTTTTTGACGAAGTGCAAATCTTCACTTCGTCAAAAATAACAGTTATCTACCCTCATTTCTACCCTCATTTCTACCCTCATTTTTTGTATTTGACGGGATTAATTCTTGATTTCAGGGATTTTTTGACGAAGTGCAAATCTTCACTTCGTCAAAAATAACAGTTATCTACCCTCATTTCTACCCTCTTGAATTTTCATGAATTTCCTTAAGATGAAAAAAATAAAGTTAGTTTTATTTTTATTTATTTTTTTATTTTGTATAAAAGATATGATTTCAACAATCGGCACAACAACAATTCAAACAACAGCACCAAATTCGTTAGTCATGAATCCAACATCTATGTTAGTAGAGATGAAAAGCTTTATTCCTTCTTCATATACTTTTGAAACAAAAATCCAGAAGATAAAGCAAGAACTTTTAACAAGTAATTTAGACTGTACCGCACAGGATGAAGAAAATGAAGAATATCTTTATGACATGCAGGACATTATTGACCATTTACCCAAATTGCCTGAAATTCAGCAGCAAAAACTAACTATTCCTGAATTCGACGAAATTGAAGTCAAAGCAACTGACTCAGTAGAAATAAAGAAGTTCATACGTAAAGTAAATTATGAGTTTCTAGGATATCATTGCAACCATAAAGTTATGGACAAAGATTGCGACATGGTATATAAGAACATCTCTGACATATATAAATCTGAAGAATTTAAGACCTACGACAACTTTGTTTCGTTAGTTGCTGAATGTGTATGGCAGATAAGAGATAAAGATAGAAGAGGTAAGGTATGGAATGAACAGATAAAACCAACTGCTTTTGAGTTAAAGAAAACCATTGACGCCTTAGTTGTTCTAGCAGGTCAAATTTCAATGTATAACGCAAAAATGAACCCGCAATGTTCTAAATGTAAAGCAGCAATGAGGAAATATAACTACTCCGTCAAAGAGATAGAACGTATGCGAAACGACTATGCAGACTTAAAGAAAGAAGCAGAAAAGCCAGCAGAAAATAAAATGGACATGTTAGCATTTCTGAACAAAAACTATCCAACTGCTGACGATTTCCTATTATCTGACGTCAAGAAGAAGTATAAAGAAACCTTCGGCATTGTTAAAACTTTTGATATCCTTCGTGAAGAAATAGAAGCTACAAAACTGTTTAGAATCTCACGAATTCATAACGTATATCATGTAAAATGTTTATAAAATAACTGGGGTAGAAATGAGGGTAGAAATGAGGTTAGATCTAACCATCTACCCTAAAATATATTTTTGCTGAATTCAACACAAAAATAATGAATTTCCTTAAGATAGAAAAAATAAAATTAGTTTTATTTTTATTTATTTTTTTATTTTGTATGTAAAGACATATATGACAAACATTGAGTTTGAAACAGTTAGAAAGATAGACAATGACACCAAAGTGGTTAGAATCGGTGATTTAAACGTAAGATACTCAAAGAAATACAACAAATATTCTTTGTCAGACATTTTATCTCCATTTGGAAAGAAAACAAACCACTGGGTTATAAATGCTTCTACTCAGAAAATTTTGACAAGAAATCCTGAGCTCATGATATCGGTAAGATTCTATGGAACTACAGCATATCTCATCGACAAAAGTCTTATACCAATAGTTTTGTTATGGATTGACCCAGTTGTTGGATATAACTTCATAACTTATGATTCATTCGATACGGAACGTTGCAGTGAAGGCTTACTTTACATCGTTCAGAAACCGAAGGACTTCAATACAAAGAGATATAAGATAGGAAGAACATATAATATAACTCAAAGATATGACAGTACAGTCAATAGAGTCAAGGTTGTGTTTGTTAATGATATGAGAGCTGCAGAAACAGAACTGCTTGAAGTTTTTGAGAAAATGTATGGTGCTCCCACGAAAGGTAAAGAAACGTTTGAAGTAGATGAGATAGATAAAGCTATAAAATTATTTGACGAAGTTGCTGAAAAATACATGTAAAGCGTTTATTTTTGGTCTTTTGTGAAAGTCAGAAAATAAAGTTAGTTTTATTTTTATTTATTTTTTTATTTTGTATGTAAAGACAGTAATGTCAACATCAGAGAACACAACAACTGCTATCGTTCATGAAGCCATAAATGAAGAATACGAATACATACAGTATAACAAACAGTTACGTCTCATTCGTTCAGTCAAAGATGACATGTACCAAATGCAAAGTATAATGAACGCTCTTCTTTCTACAAAGCAAGCATATCATTTGTTTGAAAACCAACAGACAAAAGAACTTTTAGAAGAATTTCCTCATATGATTGCTTCCCTCGAAAAACCGAGGGAAGAGATTCCGTACGAAAATCGCAAGAATTTGGCACCTGGTTTGAAAGGTTATTATGTTCATAGACTTTTAGTAAATGCTGTAGCAATGTGGGCTTCACCTCGTTATGCTTGTTATATTTTCATGATGTTAGATGAACTATATAAAGCAGAACGTGAAGATATGGAAAAGAAACTTCAAGCAAAAGATGAAGTCATTGAATCCAAAGACAAAAGCATACAGAAAAGAATACCACGTTCAGTACCAAAAGGAAAGGAAAAGAGTTATAAGTATATGATTTACGCTGAAGAGTTGGAGAAAGAAGAAGATAGAGATATGGTTATGTTGCATTTAGTCAGAAGAAACAACAAAAGCTTTTACGACTTAGCTAAAATATATAAATCTGATAGAAACTGGTTCTATCGTGAAAACATACCGATTTCAATGACACCGAATGAGCAAATAAAAGAAATTGTCAAAAATACTCTTCCTCAAACACACTATGACATCAAAGGTTGCACAATACTTACATTCAAAGAAGACTTAACATTACTGAAGGAAAAAATAACAGAGTATTTCGACAACTTCAAAGAGGAAGAATGAAAAAATCTAAGCTAATTTTATTTTTTATAAAATTTTATCTCATATGAAAGAACATGAATTTAGAATATTCGGAACTCATGACAGAAGAAGAGAACGAACAACATGTAAAAGATTATGCAAAATTTCTGAAGACATACAAAGCATTTAAACAATATCTAAATGCTTCTAAAGATTATGCAAAATTTCTGAAGGTATATAAAGCTTATGAAAAAGCGTATGAAAAGTTTATACATTGGGGAATTGTTGTAAAATATCCATATGAAGACTAACCAAAAATATATTTTTGTTCAAATAACGTCAGGGTCAATTTCTTCAACCATTTCACTTCCTTCGTCAATGTCAATTGAAGCTTCTTCAACCTTTGGTAAGAACTTTTGTATGACATCTTTGTTCGTTATTGTCTTCAGAGATGAAGGATAATATTTCACATTTGTTTCACCCTTCTTATATTCTTTCTGTTCGGAAAGATTCATAGCAATACTGAAGAAGTCAATGTTAGAGTTCTTTATGACAGTATAATGAGTATCTTTGACATTCACGAAGAAACTCTTTTGTTTCAAAACTACTGCTAACTCTTGTGAAGTATAACGTTTGCGGTCAATGACAATAGCTAATGGTCTGACATACTGACCAAACTTAGATTCTTTCACAAACTTCTTGTTAAAGATAACATTAACGTTTGAAGCACCATTGAACTCATTCTTGATGGCAGTAGCGAGAGCATTGTATGAAAAGAACTTGCAATCTTGCATGTGTTTCATTAAAATAAAAATATTAAATTATTTTGAAAAATAACTTAAAAAAAAATCTAATCTAATTTTTTCAAAAAAAATATTTTTTATCCGATAGAAAAGATGACAGAAAAATTAACTTTTTACATAGCGCCAGACCCTTCTTGCCCACATCCTTTTAAGCCACAATATATAGACATAGAACTAAATAGAGAAAGCGAAATTCCACAATATATATACATAGAACTAAATAGTGAAGGCGAAATTCTACAAACAGAAGAAAGCGAAATTCCACAAACATATAGAGACCTAGATAACGAAAATGGATATGCGCTATTCTGGTTAGATTGTCCTTATAAAATGTATGAAAAAAAGGCTTTATATGAAGAATATAGAAAATATTGTCATGAAAACGATATAAGACCAAGCTCTAGAGAAAAATTCTATGCTGGTATAAAACATCTTTTCGAAGTTCGGAATGGCAAATATAGAAAGAAATAATTTTCTAAGTTTATTTTTTCGAAAAAATATTTTTTTATCCGATAGAAAAGATGTATCGGAAGTTGTCTAAGTTAGAACACTCGGAAATAAAACAACTTCTTACAGAAGCTAACATAGATGTTGCAAAACATTACGCAACAAACAAAAAAGCACTCGCTGACATCCTCAATGACTATAATGGTGCAATAAGTTATGATAGAATTCATGAGTTCATAAAGCCGCAACGCGGCGAGGACGAAGTCCATGCAAGAGCATTTCCTTTAAATGACATTGCTATTGACTTATATCATAGACGTTCAGTACCTCATGAAGTAAGAAGAGAAATGTTTGACATAACAAATGCAAACGTTGGTGAAACAAGAAGAAGAGACGACACACTGAAACAACAGAGAAGAGAGATGTTTAAGAGCGCTATAGAACAAGTTCGCAAAGCTAACGATGTCATTCGTTCCATTGACGACAAACCAAAAGAAGGTGAGAGATGGTTAAAGAAAGATGAAGAGAATAGGAAGAGAAATGTGAAGTCAGGCAATAGACTCATTGACTTTAACATCGAAGCTTTAGATGAACCAAACAGAGACTACTTACACAAACATTTCGGTAAGGTTTTCATGAGACTCTTAGAGAAAATTAAAATAAACTCACAACAAAGATGGATGGTATGTTATAAACTTGGTGGAAAGTATGAATGTTCTACGTTAAACCTCAATAATATTGGAACATTACTACATCAGCTCTTGAAGGAGAACTTTATATCAGAGATAGAAGCAAATGCTGCAGGTATTGTTGAAATGCACTATGACTTCTTCTTGACAAACATAAAGAATCTTACTGAAATAAAGATGTATGATTTAACAGAATATGAAGGCTTAACGATGTCAGATGTTAAGAAAGGCAAACCAAAAAAGAGACCATATAGAGATGAAAGCACACTGACAAATGACCAGAAAGCCATTTTGGAAGCTCTTAAGCAAACAGGAAACCCAGCACTTATAGAAAGCTTTTGGAAAGATAATGGTGAAAAGAAGTTTTATAAGAGAAGCGGTCAGTTCTGGAAGTATCTTTGCACATTACCTATAAATCTTGAGCGCTACCAAATTTCAATGAATTGAACAAAAAGAACTGCAGCACTTATGACAGAAGACAATTGTTTCGTTTATGCTTGCATTCAGGCTGGAGTAGATGAAGAAACTATTGACCACATGAGAGAAGTCATTCGTGTTAGAGACTTTCCTCAAAGTAAAGTACAAGAAATTTCTGACGCAACAGGTATAGCATTTAATGTTACCATTGGTTATTTCAATGACTCAAGACATAATGAAATAAAGAGATACATACCAAAAGAATGTGAAACTGTTAGAACTATTGACTTACTTCTTTGAAGACCACTACATGCTAAATGAAAGATTACCAATGACAACATATTTCATTCGAAACTATAAAGAAATCTCAAAGCTTGTGGTGGAATGAACATTGAGAAACAGATGAAAATATATACAATGAGAGATGGTAATACATTGTTCGCATGATAGAACTACACCGTTATGGGATGTTATGAAAACATTGTGGGAGTGCAAATATTTCGAACCTATTTCTTATGGAGAACTTTTCACATATACGACTGACTTATATAAACAGAACCTTGCACCATTTAAAGATTTGACATATGCTCCAAAGTATTGTGTACAACTGAAGAAGAAAGCCGAGTCAAAAGAAGTAAATAAAAATAAGTGCAAGTTCATTCCTGAGCACGTTTTCTTTGCTGACTTTGAGTGTAGTACCGATGGCTTTCATAAAGCTTTTAACATATGTTACGACAGTGAAGATGGTTCAGTGAGTGAAAGCATTTGGGGTCAGAACTGTGCAACAGAATTTTTGGAACGACTTCCTGACAAGAGTTTAATATATTTTCATAACCTCAGTTATGATATAAACTTCATCTTAAGACACATGACAGAAGTGAAAGGAACTCCCATCATTAAAGGTTCACGAACAATGCAAATAACTGGCTTATATAAAGGAAGGGCAATTATTATAAAAGACTCTTACAGTGTTATAAATAAGAAGCTTAAACTATTTCCTGCTATGTTTAACTTACAAACAGGACCGAAAGAAGTATTTCCATACAACTACTACAGGAGTGTTTTGTTAGCAAATGACAACAGAACTGGTGTCATTTCTGAAGCATGTAAGTTTGTAAAAGATATTGATACATTCATGAAAACATAGATTCCATCAAAGGTTGCAGAATAGATGAAAACCACTTCGACTTAGAAAAGTATAGCACATTTTATTGCAAACAAGATGTAAGAATTTAAGAGAAGGTTTTGTAAAGTTCCGCAATGACTTATTGAAAGAGTTTGATTTAAACGTTTATGACTACGTTATATTTGTTCATGCTAACAAATTGTTTGAGAACAGAGTGTACTTCCCGAATGGAAATTATATGACTCTCAAATAAACCAAGAGAATTTATTTCGAGATGCATTCAAGGTGGAAGATGTATGCTGTCAGATAACATGAAACAAAAGAGCGAAAGAAACTCATTGCTGACTTCGACGCTGTTTCATTATATCCATCCGCTATAGCAAGACTTTATACTTTAGAAGGTATTCCAAAGGTTATGAAGAAAGAAATGTTAAGCACAGAGTATCTCATGAGACATTTATTCGATGACGACCAAAAGGAACCCATTGGTGAAAAGTTTGTGTCTGGCTTCTTTGTTCTCATTAAGATAACAGAGATTGGTATACATAGACACTTTCCTTTAATAGTTTGTGACCCTGAACTAAATCCAGAACTTAACGTTCCCAGAAGTTCAAACACTTGCTGTTTAATGTATGTTGACCATATAACATTACAAGACCTCATAAAATATCAAGGTGTCAAATGTGAAGTGTTGCAAGGATACTATTACGATGGAAACAGAGATATTAGAATAAGAGATGAAGTAAAGAAGTTGTTTGAGTTAAGGTTAAAGTATAAGAAAGAAGGAAATCCTTTGCAAGAAAATATAAAGCTCATTCTGAACAGTATTTATGGCAAAACTATTCTATCTCCTATTGAGTCAAAAATAACCATAGTAGATGACAAAGATGCTATAAGATATGCCATCAGAAACTACAACCATATAGTGAAGTTCGAAGGTTTGGATGGTTCAGATAAAACTATTTTCAAGCTAACGAAAAGCATTTGCAGACACTTTAACTTCTGTCCACTTGGTGTTAACATTCTATCTATGTCGAAGAGAATAATGTGTGAAGTATTCTGTACTGCTGAGGACATGGGTTTGTATATAGCCTATAGCGATACAGATTCGATGCACCTGTATAATGAAGACATACCAAAACTCGCTGAAGAGTTTGAGAAACGTTATGGAAGAGTTCTCATTGGTAAAAACCTTGGTCAGTTTCATTCTGACTTCGCAGAAATAACACCTGGAAAACAAAGTTTAGCATACAAGTCAATATTTTGTGGAAAGAAGACTTACATAGACTTACTCACGAAATGATTTAAATGAAGTTGCATTTCACTGCAGAATGAAAGGCGTGAAGCAAGATGTTATTGCTTTAACCGCTAATGAAATGTTTCCTGACTCTGTTCAGTGTTTCTATGATGAAGATAAAGGTTTAATGGTTCCGCAAGGAACATATGACAAAGACTCTGAGTTCAGTTTAATGAAACTTTACAAAGCACTTTATGACGGTCAAGAGATTGGATTTGACTTATGTAAGTCTGCTACACTTACATTTGAAGAGAAGTTTAACTTCTCAATAACGACTAAAACAAGCTTTATTCGTAAGTTGAAGTTCTGAGGTCATTTATTTTTGTCAGCAATGAGGTCATTCGTGATAAAAATAAGCCCATGTGGTCATTTACAATACTGCGATGGTAGAGTTTAAGAGTTGTGCTTCAATGTAGAGACAGTCCTTATGGTCTGGAGGTAAGAACACTGGGCAGTTATGGTCATGAGTGGAGAACATGTCTATCCAAAACTCACGATTGAAGCCAGTTAATTTATAGTATTTAGGGTTAGGAAGTGGTGAAGTTCTTGTATGACCAATGAACTCATTTTCAACTCCCTTACTTAAGTTTGAATATAATATAGCTTGCTTTCTATCCCAAATGCCAGGTGTTACAATCTTTGAAAATTCATTTTTCCTCGGAAGCATTGCATCATAATTGAAAACATTCTTGAAATCATCACTTGGTTCAGAGATTTGAAATCTTATACGTAATGGATTTTTTTCTTTTTAGCTACTTCATTGAATGGTGAGAATACAATGAATTGACAGTCATGAGTTCCATCTTCATTTTCATTAAATTCATAATGAAAGTCTATAAGTTGTGGCTGACTACCTTCTTCTTTCAGTTGTGCAAGAAACTCACGTAAAGGCTGTAAAGTTTGTACTTCAATGTTGAACTTTTTCTCGAACATCTCATTAAATGAAATCATACATTGCAACAATGTTGTATCGTCTTTAAAGTATTTGTATATGTGAATGTTTTGGGCGCTTAAAGACTGTTCGTCATTTTCTATCTCGACTTGAAGTATAAAGTCAACCTTTCTGAAAGCACGTGTTATATACATAGATGTTATGCCAATGTACTTCTCTTCATTTATGTTCACAATCCAGTCTGTTGGAAACTTAAACGTTACTCTGTTCCCCTTTATTTTGACGTCAGGGTTTTCACTACTGAACGCAACAGTTAAAGGTATTTGTCTATACATTTAGTTCCGATAAAAATAACACATTTACTCTTTCTTTGCTTCAGCTTCTTTAGCTTTTTGTTCTTCCTTTGCTTCAGCTTCTTCTCTAGCTTTCTTCGCCAGCAAACGTGGGTTCTTCTGTCTTCCAGCAGCTAATGCAGCAAGTTGTTTTTCACTAAGTTTTCTCTTTGGTCTCTCTGGCTTTTGTTCTTGTTTTTGTTCCTTCAGTTCGGATAAAATTTGCTCACGAATTTCTTTCTTCAATGCTTCAACATCTATGACCCCTTGG